CCTCATCCGCGAGCCGCAGCAGCATCCGCAGGAAGCGGGCGAGGTGCATCTGCCTGGCCGAGAGCTCCCCGCGGCCCGAGTAGTCGGTGCGGTACAGGGCAGTGGCACTGTCCACGACCAGCAGGGCGTATCTGCAGGGACAAGCACAGCCTCGTCACCAACGTTCCCAGGCATGAGTGATGCCTCTGCTGGAGCCAGGGCCCAGCACGTCGTCAGGCTGCAGCCACCACGGGGATGGCAGTGAGCAGAAATGTGATTCTTAACACTGACGTGCTCTGCAGTGTTCAGATTAACAAACTACTCTGACATTTCCCAATCAGGTCCTCTAAACTTCTGCACTTGTTCATCATCTGCAGGTGGCCTTGTGGTACGATTATGGGTTGGCACAAAACTCACTCTATCCATCTATCTGGGACCATTACCGTGATTCAGCCATCATAGCAGACGCCTGGTAGAGCAGCTGGGTCTGGTGGTCTGTGTTAAAGCCTCGAGCGTAGGCCACGTTATCCAGGACATCACTGCCAGACAAGCCGTACCTGCAGAAACCAGTGGCAAGATAAAAATCCTCAAGTGGCAGCTTCTTCACCAGGAGTTATCTAGTGGGCTTACCTAAGGGCTAGAATAAAAACTCACGTTCCTGGGAGAGTCTTAGAGATAAAAGCAGACGGCAAAAAAGCCACACAGCTTGGTGAGGAGAGAATGGACTGATAATGCTGTTAAAGACTGTTTTCCTGCCCAGGAACAACAGTCGAGTAGAACACCAGACATTAGGCCCCACAGAAACAGCTTCGATTTGAGGAAGTCTGAAGAATCACAAGGGCAGGAGTAGCTCTTTTTTCTCATGTACAGAGCCAGTACTTCAGGCTTCTGAGTCTACCCAGACCCTCTGCGTAGGCAGCAGCAGTTTTATTACCTAAAGTACAAAGTTTTATTTTCCAACTGGTATAAAAGCTACATCAGAACATTCTGAGATAGAGGCTGGAGGTGAAAAAGCAGCTTTTCAACCCATCAGTGCACGCTCTCATATTCCCTAACAAGAATTTTCCAGCTGCTGTTGCAATAACCTGTTTAAAAAGGACCTTTGCTTCAAGGTAATGCTTTTGGCACAATTTAAGGAAAATCCCTGCATGTGTTTCACTAACAGTAAAACTGGATTTGGAAGAGGCATTAGTGAGAAGTGAAAACATCCTGTTCCAGGGGACAATGGTATTAGCTGTTGTCACAGCTAAAACTAGAACCTCTGTTTATAGAGCACAGGTAGTGAAGTGGTCTAATGTGCGCAGAGCAGACAGCTGGAACACAGAAAGGGGGTTGGTTGGTTTTTTAGGAACAGTTCTAGTCCAACAGCCCTGTGAATGCAAGAAGATGGGCTGATTCACACAGTGATCCTTAATAACCAAGTTATCCTACGATTAAGTGTATTCCTTTCTTCAACTGACACCAGCTTACCCCCAGCCTGGGTACAGACCTTTCAGCCACAGCGAGAAGCCGCTCAGGACGGAAGGTCCCCTCTGTGTCAATGTACATGGCTTTTCCTTCACCACCCCCTCGGTCGATGGGAAGCTAAAGGAAAAGCAAATGGAAGAACATGAAATAGTGTCAACAAACAAGCCAATTCCTGCCTTGCCCTCAGCTGATATCATACAATAAGCAACACACCAAGATACTGTGATTGAAGTCGCATTTATCTGGGAAAAGTGAGGAGGAAGACTCCTGTTTTCAATCTGTGATACCTGCGTAAGAGCCCAGGTATTTAACTTGGTAGGTTTAGGTGCATAACGGTGTCAAATGAATGATCAAATTAAGCCCAAAGCCTCTAATATTTTATGAAACAGCAACCTCTAGAAAGTAATAAACACTATTCCTTGTTTAAACGAAGATTAAACACTACTCCAAACTGACCTACTGTTCGAGCCTAGAGTACCCGAATCAAATGAGCGCTCAAATGCTTCCCTGAATAAAATCATGCTACGAGGCTGATGTGTTAAATGTTGTTGTAAAAATGCTGGG